CACATTAATTTTTTCATTCAAAAAATTTACCTTGAGAAACGTAAAGGGGGGGGGGGGGGGGAGGCCCCTAATCCTCAACCATCCATATATTTTGGTGGTACGTGAAGGCTGACGTAGCCGCGAGGGATGTGCTATACGCAATCACGCCCTCACAAATCTCCTTTCACCTTTTTTGTCCCAATTAACTCCACCGGACACAAAAGAGCCCGGACATGTAGCCAGCAAGACGCGAAAGGCTCTCCTGGCTGCACTGCTTCCATGTTTACGACTCGCCCCCCCCCCCCCCCCCCCCCCCCCCCCCCTCTGGGTAGTCTAGATGGGAACGGGTCTGCCTTCGCCGTTTACAAACACAGTCGGCCATCACTCCTGTTTGGCTAGTTAAATTCCATAAACCCACCTTCCCAGGCGACGCTGGCCTTACACTCTAAAAACTGTCACGCTGAACCTCAACGCTAACCGTGAGTTTCAAGCGTGGAACCGACGTCAATACGACGGGAATGACGTTTTAAGCACCACGTGATCGAGAATAAGCGTTTGTTTTCTGTGTCCAAGCGTTAAAGCAGTCCGAGGAATCCCGCTCAGCCCTTTTTTTCGGACGTGATCAACAGCGTTAGCGTGACGACCGCAAAACACACACGCTTAGATTTTCGGAGAAACGCGCGCGCCTCCCATTCATCGTCACGCTAATATATATCCGAATGGGTTGACCCTCCTGAAGATCCACTTGCGCGTGGCTTTTTTTTTTTTTTTTTTTTCCTTTGGAAGCACAGAGGGCGCATGCGTCCTTTTTTTGGCGGGAAAAGCGAGAAAGCCGTTGCGCTGTTTCCGTTGCTCCCTGGCTTGCTCAGTCAGTTCCCGACACGCCTTGTTTGTGGCTGTGGCTGGTGGCTGGACCAGCTTGACTGACTGCGACTTGCGTGATTTCGCGAAAGACGGCGCGTGAGTTCGGGCACAGTGTGCCATGTTTACCGCACTTCACGGGCGTGGAGTACCGCGGGGGTCGCTGCAAACATAGCGAGTGCGAGTGCCCCGAATTCATGTGGGAGACGGACCTGAATGGCCCAGCCAAGGAAAGGGCTTCCCATTTTGGCTGGTGCCTTTACTGCGGCCATTCGCCAGCTATTCATGGAAGACAGCAATATTTGGGTAAGAACCCTGTTTTCGTTTGTCCCCCATGTGTCTTAATCCGCTGTTTTTTTTTTTTTTTTCGTTGTGAAAGCGCAAGTATCAACTAGCACAGTCTTCATCGTGTTTCTTTTCTTGAAGCGTTGTGCTTTTCAACATAACTGCCACATCTAGGAAACAGTTTTTGCTGCTTGGTGATTGAGCGCGTAATTGAAACAAATATTGTTTATTTCGGAAAGGTGAAGGAATGAACCGTGCATGTTGGGGCGTCGTTGAGGTAGTCGGGCGAGTTTGGTCTCGGCTGTAGACACTGCAGTACAGAGGTGAGCTTGTTATTCCAAGTTGTTGCATTGCTGTCGCAAAAACTTCAAAAGCATATTTTGCTTGAAGTCCCGCCTCTGTGTCGGTCTCCCGTGTTGAAAGTTTACGGTTCGGAATCGACGAACAGCCAGAATATGGGTGAAGGACAAAATGGGTACGTGGCAATGTGGCAAGGGAAAAAGGGTGGCAGCAGGAAAGAAGGAAAAGGGTACACAACGTTGCATTGTAGGAGGAAAAGGGGTCGCAGCGGTGAAGGAGACGCAAAGAATCGAAGTAACATCAGAGGCAGCCGCGTGAATCTTTGCATGTTCCGATGCTTGCCGGCATGTTTCATTTTGGTTTTGATCGGTCTCAACGCAATCGTTTTTTTTAGATAAAGCCTTGCAGAAATATCAAGTTAGTTTGAGCGGCGTCGCCGTCGGCATAACCGTACCGCGTCGGCATGACGCTTTTTTTATGACGTTCGCAAAGAAACGCATTGATTTCAGCGGCGAGTAGATCACTTTCGCAATAAAGAGAATACTTCAAGCACGCTCAAAGTGCACTTAATGTTACACAGCTTTACGAACTAAGAACAGTCTGTTATGAGCGTTTCAGTTAGTGCAATGTGAACGTTCAAGTGTTTATACTCATATTTGTAATACTAAGTTTTTTTTTAGGCCATAATATCTTAATATTATTGTCAACAGGTTGCACCGACGGATATTCTGGGACCCTGCATTGTGTGGGGCCAAACGAGACGGGCTAATCTGCGTCAACGAACCACGAAATGAAATCGACCTGCAACCAGACACGTCTCTCGAGAAAAGCGCTGCTGCTATGCCTCTGTGCAGCATTTGGGCAGCTGCTTGGTTTTTCTACAGAGAGTAGTGAAACCAGCAAGCAGGTCTGAGGTAGCGTGGGCGCAGAAAAAGGTTGCGTGATCTTCTCTCAAAGTTGCACTTTTTTGCTCGCACACAGTTTTTTTTTGTTTCTTTCGTACTTGTTTTTGAGGAATGGTTGGAGGGGAGTTATGTACATCAAAATATTAATCGCTCTAGCAAGTGAATGAAAGGGCCGCCCTTAATAATGAAAACTCTATGATATGTAGAAAAAAAATGGCAAGTGCCCACGTGGTCGAATGCTCCAAAAACTAAATCTAGTCATTACGCGCCAATTCAATTTTTGTTAGCAAATGTTGACTTTCGTAACGAAGTCAACACTTTGCTCATTTGAACTCATATAATATTTATGCCAGTTTGACCTTTGTTAGCGAAGTGATGACGTTGTTTAAACTGGTTGTGTTTCGTTACGAACCATTTTTAGAAGGAAAAACCTCCTTCTTATTCTGTGGTTAACTTCTTTTAGAAAATCACAGACTTGCCACAAAGCACAATTTTTCTAATATACCAATTGCTGTATGTTATAGAAAACGAACCGCAAAAAAGTATGACACCACACAATTATCACTGCGTAGCTGCAAAACGTATGGCAATGATTTATATATTGATATTTTTCTAACATTTACTGAAAAAATATATCCTGATTCAAACCCGCTAAAAATGCAAAATATTGACATTCATTCATATTTGTTTCATTATACTCATAGTTGAGGCAGTTCTTAGCAGTTAGTGGGCATTATACTTTTTAGTGGCTTGTTTGTACCAAAAAAAAAAAAGATTTTCAAATAAAGAGTTTAGCCCCGAAGCTGAAATTTGTTTGCCTTTTTCTATTTAGTTCCTTTTGGACTGTTCCTTCTTGTAACTAGAGCCTAACAAGATCCCTCTCTCTCTCTCTTTGTGTTTCTAGACGCCAAAAATAAATTTCCTAAAATCTTTATACAAGATGCACAGCTGTGAACAGCTTGCAGCTACTTAGCGCAATGTACCAGGCGTAACATGATTCACAACTGCCATTCGTATATGTGCGTAATTATACATAAAGCAGCACGTTTATCTTTCTTGCACTACTCAATTCGCCTAAAGGAGTACTTAGAGAGATTTAGTAGATCGTTTCTGAGCTCCTATAACGATATCCGATAACAATGCATGGGGGCCCGTGAGTTCATACGCTTATTACGGCGTGCGTTTTCTCCACTCTCAAATAATGACGCCTTCTAGGCGCGTGAAATGTGCGTCGTGGTTGAAACTTCTGGCCGCTGACATTGGGCTTTCTCGCATTTAGTATGTCGTCCCAATAATCTTAGTTATTGGGACGATATACTAAATGCGGGAAAGTTCAATGCCCACGGCCAGAGGTCTCCACCGCAACGCGCATTTCACACGCCTAGTAGGCGCCATTATCTAAGCGTGGAGAAAACGCACGCTGTAATAAGCGTGTAAACACAAGGGCCCCCTCACGCCTGCGAAGCGTTAAACCATAGCACAGTTCACGCTTAGGGAGCGTGAATTCTAAGCGTTGAAAAACAGCACGCTTAGAACAAGCGTGTAAAAAATCGCTTTGCGTCACGCCTGCAAGCGTTAAACATATGCGCAGTTCACGCTTAGGGAGCGTGAATTCTAAGCGTTGAAAAACACCACGCTTAGAACAAGCGTGCAAAAAATCGCTTTGCGTCACGCTTGCTATGCGTGACCATTTTTAGAGTGTAGTTTAAAATTCACGCAATGTCGAGTGGCAGCCACATGCACCCACTTTACAAGAGACTGCTCAAAATTCCTCCTTGTTTGAAATCTCTACCCTTGTACCACGTATGGCAGTAACACCGTCGAAGTTTCACCGAGTGCATAATCCCCTACTCCACTAAACCTCCCGACCACCGCAAGGAGATCCTGGATTCTGTTTGCTTACTTGCTAGAGGCTAATCTTACTCACTATATAGTCACCCATTCCACATCTCTATCTCTAACCCCTCCCTTTCTGCTCCCCCCATCTCCGGTCCGGATGATTTTAGTCAAGAGAACCGAATTGTATCCATTTTTCATGTAACTAAGGGAAGTTTTCATCATCATCCCCCAATATACAGAAACACTCGACTCGCGGGCACGATCGGTGAAGTGCGGGAGGCACGGTCTCGCATCTCCCTCCACCACCAAGTCTCGTTCGTCCTCCGAGAGGCGGCGCGCGCTTACTTCCTTCTTCCTCCTCTCTCTTTGTTTCTCGCTCCCTTCCCTCCACTACCCGCTGACAATCCCACACCCGCTATCCCGTGGTGCCCCGCGCCCGCGCCGCCGCTCCTCCCGGTTCAACAGAGAGCTTTGCACCGGAGACCGACGGGAGCCCGAACCCTCAGCTCCCCGGCGACGACGTCGACGGTGTTGCACCGGGCTCCGTGCGAAGGCGGTCGCGCCGGCCCGGCCAATGGCAGCTGGGCTCCTACGGACGCTTCCGCAGCGCACGAGCAGCACGTTCAAATGTGAACGAGTGCCCTACGGAGGCTCGGAAGCTGCACTGCCCCGACATGAAGGTGAGAAAACTTCATCACGTTATAACCCGCGGTTAATCGCGAAAAAAAAAAAAAAAAGGCTTTGTGATTACCGCCAACGCGAGCGGGGAAAACCGAGCTGTGTGGGGGGACGAGGGCTATATGGAGATATGTCTGCGAGGTTGTTCGATCGCGAGGCGCGTTGCTGCGTTTCGGATGCAGGAGAAACGGCAACACCTGTTTTGGCGGGTGGGGGCGTTTTGTTGCCCTCCCCTCCCCCTTCCCCTTTCTTAGGCACCTGTAGCGAAGGGGCTTCTCCCATGTGCTTTGGGGTTGTGTCTTCCGCCCCAAGGTTTGGCACCAGCGTAAACGCGTTGTGTGTGTTTTTTTTCTTTTTCTTTCACGTTTGTATGTAAATATGAATGGATGTTCACGTAATAAATTTCTAACAGTCGCGAAACAAAAATATATTAGGACAGGAGGAGAAAACAACGACCTAATCTAATTAGTAGCCATCAAACTGGAAGCAGGATTATGTTGATTTGAATGAACCCACGTGCACGGTAGGTACCTTCGAAGCGTAGCACCCTAGTGAAAGAAAAGAAAATCATTTGTTGAGTCCTCTAAACATTGATGAACGTGTAAGATGGTTCTGTTACAGATTTAGTCCAGAGAGTTGGCCTTCCATCACTGGCGGAAAGAAATCGAGTATGCAGGCTAAAAGTCCTACACCAAATCAATTATGGCCGTTATAAAATTAATCGTGATAGTTATACAGCATTTTTTCTGAGGGCTATCGCACGAGACGAAGGCATAGATTCTTCATAGTCGCACTTAAGTATCGCAAGCATTGCTCTAAATTTTCTTTTGAATTCCACGAACGGTGGTGGAGTGGAACGGGTTTCTTAGTGACACGGTTGAACAGGAGGATCTAGACATGTTTATGGCGCCCCTTGTTTAAACTGTTTGAATTTTTCCCGAATTTCGTACAGAGAGTGTTCCTCTGTCTGCTATCGTTTTTTGTGAATTGATATTATTTTTATGCTGTATAAACCCTCCTAAAATCTTCTTGTGAGATGAGCAGTTTTACTAAAAATAATGTTTGTTAAACAAATTATATACAAAATGTTACTTTTCAATAAGGAGAAATTTCTCCTTTCACTTCAGCTTCTCTCGCGCTGCGAGTGTAGTGGGGTACAACATAGCGGATTATGATGCTCTAACGAGAGATTGAGAATGATGAGCATACTCCAATGGAGAAATTGAGAAGTATGAGACACATTGGCACCTTTAAGTACAAAAATTAGTCTTTATTATTTGTAAAATAAAGACGAGAAGACAACAGTGTTCCTTAAGCACGATGTTCCACCCTACGCCGTCTATTGAAGTGCGCATTTAATCCTGGAATAAATATTTCACGGAATAAGAAATTTCGTTAAAAACCAGCTGTGCACGTGAAAGAGTTGAAAAAAGAGGTTGGGGGGGGGGGGGGGAGGTTAGCTATATATACTATAAAACTAGGTTGATATAAAATCAGAGTTGGATTAAAATGGTAGTTTTTGTTTATTATACTAGAGACAAACATCGTGCTTTTAATTTTCCCCCCGGGTCCACACCTCCGTCTCTCTATTTTTCCGATGGTATGTAATTATTCCGGAGCATAAAGAGGTATCTATGTATACATGTATATCATTACCGCAACAATTTAATATATATATTTCTCTTGCCGGATAACTAGGAAGATAACAACAACACAACAGACTTTTACAGAAGAATAAAAGTTGAAAATGTCGTAAATCGAAAGGTATTTGTCATGCTGCAATGCCTGTGCTTTTTAATATTGTTTTAATCAAGTTCTTGAATAAATTAGATGATAATTTAGGTAAACTTAAGACAGGTCCGTGAAACAACGAGTCTTGTCACGCAAAGAAGTTATCTGTCACGCCTAATATATCCTCACATATTGTTTTCAGTTCAGAGCTGTTTTGCCCCGATCATTTCGAATAAAAATGATTACATTTATTTTTTTATAAACACGAATCATGCACCAAGCGATAATATACGGCTTCAATATTTAAGATACCTAAAAGTCGTTTTACGTTCATAACCATTTCACCATAAGTTCAAACCCAATCTAAGGTCGTCGCCGCTGCTTTTCCGCAGTACACGATGATGATGCGTCGTGCCAGCTTTAAAGGGTGTTGAATTTCTATGCTGTCATAAAGACTGGATGCTCCCACAGATATGTTGCAGTATCAGCGAGGTATTAGAAACACAGAACCAGTCTTCGAGTTTACTATTAGTAAATGACCTGTTATAACAGACATAGAGCGGTTCTAATAATATTGTTTAATTTGAAATTCGGTGCGTGGAAATCTATAATAACGCATTCAGGTAGCCGAACCGTTGCCTTTTCGTTATTATTTTAAACCAACATTTCACAAAAACTACGATTACAGTTTTTTCGTAGAAATTGATTTTATGCTATTTTTTTTACCCTGTGCTTCTATGTAATAGAATATCTGTTTGTGCCTGTTTTACTCAAAATAAAAAGCCAAAAAAAAAAAAAAGAAACCAAATTATATATATATATATTTTTTACCAGATATTTGTTATTTCAGCTGAGTGTGAAAAATATTTTAAGCTCAGTTTCGAGCTATAGATATCCCTCAGTTTCTAAATCTTATTCACTTTTAGAAAATGTATTCTGTTCTTTTTTTTTTTTTTTGCGCGCACACGCACGTTCTTACACACAGTCGCCAACATGTACCCGCGCACATACAAAGACTCATAAAGTTTAAGACATCGAACCCCTTTTTACTCAACATCCAATATGTTGAAGTTAAACTGCTAGAAGTTGGAAAATAATTTTTGATTTGTTGTCTAGAACCGAAAAAGTGGAGGAGCCTCTTACTCTTCCAGTTGTTGGTTACCTGATAAGAAATTAGCTGATTAGAAACAATTACAATAGACGTATGCAAAAGACAAAACTCGTTCTGATTTGATTCGTTTTGATTTAGAAGTCAGACTAGATTAATTATATTTAAAAAATCAATTGACACATATGTATTGTTTAACCAAACTAGCGGAGTATTTTATTTTATTTATTTTTTTTAATTTTTAATACATACGGCACGGTGAACGCCGGTGCTAATAGCCTGCCGTGAAATCGTGAGGTTTTTCACAACACTAACATTCGAGGAAATCGTAAGCCAAAATACGAGGCAAACGTTTAGCCTGTTTGGGCAAACCCTCATACTTGTCTCGCCTTTAGCAGTACAGGTATGATATGTGTGTTTTCCTCCGGTTGCTTCAAAAGGCTCTTGTTGAGAGCCTCTTGAAATACGTAAACCATTCTTTGAAAGGATGGTGTATCCCTGTGTACGTCCCCCCTAAGTGTCTTTTTTTGTCTGTGTATTTGCTACAACACGTTTCATGTAGCTACCTTTAAATGTCATAGTCCTTCTTTGTGTGTGTGTTTGTGAGAGAGAGAGATAGTGGATGTGGCATGTTTTTCTAAGATATGTTTAGACAGACAGACATAGCGCTTTGCCGCATTCAATCAGTCTTAAAAAGCCAACTGCCACAAAGAAGAAAAAAAACAGGTGTACCATTAGTTAAAAAACAAAACAAAGAACGACTCATTCCTATAGGCGCATTCAGGCAGCTGTGCTAGGGCACCGCCATAACCGACCTACAGATCGGGTTCCCCTATTCCGCTAGCTTCACTTCATTATTACTCCAGCAGGACAGGTTATTGGCACTTTAGGTGCTTCTGTGTCCTTCTCCCCAGCATCGGCCTTCGTGAATACTCGTCAGCACCCGCTTCAGTGGCTTGGCATCTCGGCAAGACAAGAGAAGGTCGGCAATGGCGGCTCAATCTGGCGCGTGTTTAAGGCGTCTATTGACAATTGGCCTATTGCTGAATTACCCAAGCATCTAGGGGAATGCAGGGATTCGCGTTTCACGCGTCGAACGTGCTGGCCTCGGCAGTAGTAACTTTTCTAAAGCAAATGCCTAAAACAAATTGCATCCTGCACGCGCATTCGTAAACTCTTTATTTTGGTTATTTACTTGGAATCATTTATACGGGGAAGGCGTGCGCGTACGGCGCGTGGGACACCAATTCCTACATTCTCCTTTACGCTTGGGTAGTTTAGCAATAGATCTATTGTAAGCATGGCGCCTCACTTGTGCCCCAGACGTGCAAGCATGTCCAGCGTGCCCGTTAACGTAGCTTTGTCAAGCTTGTAATAGACCATTTACTATATTACCCAAGTATCAAGGAGAACGCAGGGATTGGTGTTCCACGCGCCACACGCACACGCCTTCCCCGTATAAAAGATTCGAAGTAAATAACCAAAATAAAGCGTTGTCGAACGCGCGTGCAAGGTGCCATTTGTTTTAGGTATTTGCTTTAGAAAAGTTACTACTGCTGGGCCAGCACGTGCGGCGCGTGGAACACCAATACTTGCATTCTCCTTGATGCTTGGGAAATATAGCAATAAGGAGTATTCACTGGACGGAATATTTGTGGGTGCTGTTTAGAGCGCATGCATGCTCAGAACGAACTCACATTAAGAGGTCGCTAAGACCGGCAATCTTGATGGTGTGGAATGCACGTTGCAAAATAACTGTGGAACCTCGCCATCAGCACGCGCTCAGCAGTCGCGCACACGGCTATGGCCGCCAGTGAATACTCCCTATAGGTTTATTGCACCCACTTCCTTGCACGAGCAGAAACATGGTGGCGGCCAAATGCCCTGCTTGCTAGAATCTATTCGCGGCGAGATCTTTTGGTGGAGCCCTCGTATGGTTTCTCCCTTGACGTCATTACCTTGCGAACAACAAATTCGATGGTGCTTGTATTGAGCATGGTGGAAGATTGAAATCATTGCGCTCTGAAACCAACACTGCCAACATCGTCTAAAATGAATTTTTTCTATTACTCTTATTTCCGTCGATGTGAAATCGTTTTCTGACGTCATGGTCAGCATTCGGTTAATTGTGACAGGCCGACCACAGCGACGCTTTCTATAGCT